TATTAGTGTACTTAATGGATGTTGAACTCCACATTTCCATTGATTGTGAAATTAGACATGGAAAAGGGTAGGGTTATTTTAGGTTTAGGCGTGGAGGAGGATGGATCTTTGCTTGTTGAGGCGTAAGAATGTCACTCCACGCCCTCCTCTCCGACAAAGACGGAGCCCAATATGACCACAAACTAGCCTCACATCGGTGGCCTGTCACTGACATGATCTGGCGACTCTCCAGTCCGTCGTCAGAGAGGCGACCGACGGCAGTGCTCCGCAAACTATGGTTTGTGTAAATTTCAGCGATACCTTCCACCTGAAAGACAATTTAGATTTGGAAAATATTGCAGGTTATCTACAAACTGTTTGAATTCATAGGGTGAACAATTGAATATCTATTAAATATATTAGCTACCTCTTCACATATATTTTTTAGCATATTGCCGAGGTAGTTGATTCCCATTGGCTCCCTGGTGAACCACACTTCAGTGTCCTCGAGTTTGCACAAAGGGATGCGCCTGGGATGCAGATAAAAGGCTCCGGCGTTGACAGGACACTTTGACAGGTATTTTTTGAAGCTTTCCACGGGACAAAGTGGGTCACCGGGGCACTCAAACGTAAAAACGAGTTTATTGAGATGCACCTGTACCTTCCACCTGAAAGACCATTTAGATTTGGAAAATATTACAGGTTATCTACAAACAGTTTGAATTCATAGGGTGAAAAATTGAATATCTATTAAATATATTAGCTACCTCTTCACAAATATGTTTTAGCATATTGCCGAGGTAGTTGATTCCCATTGGCTCCCTGGTGAACCACACTTCAGTGTCCTCGAGTTTGCACAGAGGGATGCGCCTGGGATGCAGATAAAAGGCTTCGGCGTTGACACTTTGATAGATATTTTTTTAAGCTTTCCACGGGACAAAGTGGGTCACCGGGGCACTCAAACGTAAATCCTCGTAAATTCTCTGTCAGATGCAGTAGGATCTTTGTGATTTTTTTTGTTTCTGGGTTATGTGCCAAGGTTAGGTATTCCAAGCCATTCTCGTCTTGTCGGAGAATGAAAGACTCTTTAGATAGGTCGCGGTTTCCTTCTCTCTCCCTCCGTGCAAAACATAGCTGTATGTCAAACCAAACTTTCCGTACAAGCCCGATGGGTGTGAATGGGGAGAGCGCAGATGAATTTTTAATTTTCTTCAGGCCAGACTCAGTGAAACGAGGGGGATGAACGCTGGTGTCTTTTCCATTTTTCCTGTAGTGCTTTATAATTGATTTAAAGACGGCATTGCTTGATTTAAAGTCTTTATCATTTATGATGTTGTGTTTTGTGATGTAACGGTTAATACCCGCTCTGATACACTTCAGGCTTGCAACACTGTATTCGCGGCCGGTAGTTGAACAGAGGCATAAAATTCTTGCAATGTCTCATTAAGTTCAGAAGCCGAGTAAGTCTCAACAGCATCATTTTTTTTCTTCTGATACAAAAAGTCTTTGAATGTGGTAATTGCCCATTTAGTAGTCTTTTTTGTATTAACCTCATCCTTTTCGTCTTCAATCTGCTTCAGCTCTGCTGGTGTTATTTCCTTGTATTGTTTTTCTTTACATTTCTCGTTTGATGTTATATTCTCCAGTTCGTCCAGTTCATCTTGTGCCTCTGCCCATTTATCAAAATTGCCATAATGACCGTATAAGCTAAATGACACGCGAAAATCATCCATTTAGCCTAGCTAAATGAGGGGATCTCTCTTCAACCACCACGCTATTACAAGAGAAAGGTATTTATAATCACAACATATGTTGGACGTGATCCATATGTTATGAAGAGGAGCGATTTTTAAACTAAATTGAAATACTTGCCTGCCATTGAGGCGGTGGATATAGGCTAAGCAACTATTTCGAAAGTGAATCCCGTATTTATATGAATATGTCACTCCTGAAACTTTGCTGCATGTAAGTTGTAAGTTGCTATGTGGCTGTTGGTCCTGTTAGCAGCATGTAAAACAACTTTTATTTAAATTCTGAATCGATTATAGCCTGGAAAGCGAGCAAATAGCACGTTCATC